AAACCAATGTTCTCGCAGGGGCACGTCTTGATGGTCTGGTCGGTGATGATTAATAATCGCGGAGGGGGGGGGAGTGCACCGAACGGTACATTTTTTATCCGCGTTAATACGAGACTACTTTCGTATCGTCGTAACGAGAACGCGCAGAAGAAGACGAGGCGGAAAGAAGAGAGACTCGGGCGAGGCGGGGGGGGAGGGGGGATGGAAAGGGTGAGCCGACAGGGCAATGCATCAGCGGTTAATGAGCAAACTTTAATATTCTCCCGGACTAAAACCCACCCCTTGCCCACCACCTATCTTCCACCGACCACGAGCCAACCCCCCTATGTTCCGGAACTCGGAAGAGGGCGGCGCGGGGAATGAGGGGGGGGAGGGGGAGGGGTGGGATGACACGGCGAGCGCGATGCACACGACTGCCATAATTATTGTGCGCCGGCAGAAGAAGGGCGAAGCAACGAGTGAATAAGCGAGGGGCTGGCGAGCGAGAGGGTTCGTCTAACGGTGTGCGGCTAGTGAGACGGTGGCGGTCACGGCACGCAGCGCGAAACGTTTTTCTGGCCCGGGATTCGGCCTCAAAGTCGTCCACATTCATTAATTTCATTGAGGGATCCAATTAGAGCGGCCAGTGCAACCCCTGATACACCGAAAGGGTAGCCCGTTGTCACGACCATGTGGTTAGCCGTTAGCTCGTTTTGTTCTTTTCCCCCGACAGCGAGTTGTGGAGAATCTCGGTAAATAAAATTCTGCCTTTCGCTGCCGATCTCGGTTTGTTCGATTTCACCGCTGCACGCACGATTCTTGCATCGCAGGTTCAAAAAGTATGATGTATCGTGTCTAATGTCATAAATTGAAAACTTTTTCTTCTAAAATATATTTTAATGGATTGTGAATTGATAATGGAAGCAACGCAATTTAAAATCGTCACTTTGGAAAAATGACAAGTCACTGTGACGATATGGAGACATGCGGAAAAGAGGCTACTTCATTTTCTCCCCCTCTCTTTCTCTCTCTCTCTC